AGACTAATAAGTGCTTTATCACATTCATACACCAATGGGACACACATCAGAGGCAATGAGGGGTTCAGGGTCTTGCCCAGGGACACTTCGGCACGTGACTGCTGGTGGAATTGAACCCCCCACGCTTGCAATGGAGAACAAATGCTCTAACCACTCAGCCATAGCCGCCCTGAAACTGTCCAGATGACCTGACTGAACTTTGTTGGATACTTTACCTGTATTATTGAGCATGAACTTTGATGTACTTGATTGTGTCTTACAGCCCAAAGAGTATCACCTTCAGGACCACTTTACCTGCCTAACATAATGCTGCAAAAAAACTGAAGAATCCTTTTGTAGACCATAATAACATAAAGGAGATGAAAACAAAGGGAACTGGACTGGTTTATTTTATTTTTTGAATATGTTTTACCTCTCATCTGAGGATATTTGAATGGTGAAAACTCCTCAAACAAGAAAATATTTCAAACAGAAAACTATATTCCTGTAGGAGTTGTAGTTTGCCACTGGTGCCATGTTTATGTCTGCATTCCCCCTGATCCTCTGTTTCTCTTTATAGGATTTGTATTTCTTTAGTTTCTATCCCCATCTTGTGTTGTATTCATGTTTTGCATCATATGTCTCTTTCGCTAGTATCTGTGATTACTCACAGGTGCATTCACTTGGTCTAATTGATGTTTCCTATATATAAGTCAGTGTCTCTGTGTTAATCCTTGACCTGGCATTGTCTACTGTTCACTGGCGATAATATATCTCTTATTTTATATATACATCCTGAGTCCTTGTCTGCCTGCCTGCACCATTGGGTTCACAAGCCTTTTGTGACAATTCCTGTGATTTTAATTCAGTTTGTTACAAAGAATAATTACAAAACACAAGCTGTTTTGTTTCAGTTTCCTGACAGCTTCAAGGCCATTTCTCAAGCTTAGTGCAATTGTCTATCAGTACTTACTACCCTGCTCCAAACAAAATGCTTTAATTTGATTGAATAGCTTTTCAGCTCTCTTTTCTTAAATTCCCTATACCCTTGTTTTCTGAGTTGAGTGTGCTTTAAACACATTATGCTAAAGGGATTATTAACATATTGTGTAGGGGAGTTCACTGGAAAGGTTCTGAATACATTTGATGCAAAATGTATTGGTATTTTTTTAACACCATCAGTTTAGAAAAATAGATTATAACTTTAAACAGACTGATGAGCTAATGGCTCGTCCAAGCTGGGCCAAGACCAAAGATGACTGCCATCTTTAAACAGCTCCACACCACATCAGTAATGTTAATGCAGTTAAATAAATGTTTGCTTTGCCGTCAATTTCACGTGACTTGAGTTATTCTGGCTGAATCCACAACAAATAAAAGTTATAGCAATGAGCCTGTCCATCTGTATGTCCGTCCTTTTGTTTATTTAAAGATGTAAGCACTAGACTTTGATCTTGGCCCTGCTCAAACTATATAGTATCTCATCAGTTCGGCCAAAGTTAAACTTTTTTTTTTTTCAAAATTGAGTTTGTTCAGAGACCTATCCACAACAGGTAAGATATTATTTTTTAACGGCTGTTGTCCGCAGAACCTCATTGAAAATTATCTAAAAGACAATAGACCACAAATTTCAGTCCAATTTTATTTTAGTGCTCATTCATGTGCTTTAACACAGTGTCTGAGGACAATCAAACCAGAGCCAGTAGAGTTACTTGGAATGTTGGACCAGATACTTTCACAACTGAAGACGGTAACATTGACAGACACATCTAGATGCACCAAGACTAGTATGCCTAGTATGAATGTTCAAGTGCTCTCAAGTCCAGATCTTCACTAGACAATTGTATAAACTGCTGTCATGAATGCACATCTCCGTCCTCTCTTTCTAAATCCTCTCCTCACATAATTTGATCTTTATTTCTATACTAAATTGTTTCACCTGTTTTCTTTCCCATCCTTACTTCTCAAACTTTGAAATTGCCCAGCGGCGGTTGTGAACTCTTACCCCGACAACCCCCTCACCCCCACTCCCATACACCCACCCACCCATTCACACCTCCTGCAACACTCATCCCCTTGCCTGCTCCTTACCTTCTATCAGCTGATTTGCCATCTGCCTCTCTCTCTTGGGTGCTGGAGGACAGAGAAGAGGGAAGAGTTTGGGGGACAAATTTAACCTAGAAAAAGAAGCGAACTGTACCAGAGGAGGCAAAAAGCACTACAAATAAAAAAATGTTGGCTTTAGCAGTTATTTTTTTTCTAGGTTGAGCAAGAATATCTTTATAATTTTTTGATTTGTTTCACCACTTTAACTGGCAGCAATTTCTAGATATTCATTCATGTGACTGATTAATAATGTTCATGCAGAATTCATGAAGCACACATTTGGCAGAATGGGACCAAACAGCATTAAATGAAAAGCTTTTGTCTAGCTTGAGTTTGAAATCTCAAGCACACTTTGAGTTTGAAGTTCCGGTTACACTGTGTGACAAATAATTTGATGGGATCTGGCATCCCCCCCCTCCCCCCCATGGCAAACATTACCCATCTTTCATTCAAGTCGGTACAGAAATAAAAATGTGCGTAGAAACTGCTCTAGTCCCTGTGGTAAAATCTGTGGAATCCTAAATCCACACCCACGGGGGCAAATTCAAGGCCAAGAGAAAAACACACAGCAAATTATTAAAATGGAAGTGTGTTAGACTAAAAATAAAACTGTGGGCCATGAGGTCAACCACTAAAATTTTGATATATTATTATTATTTATGCACTTCATGTGAAGTTCTTCAATGAAGTATTGGGTACTAACATATAGTCACTGAATAAACTAGTTTGAGTTGTCAAATTGAGCTGTAAAGCATGTGAAACACACATATACATGTTAATCCCACCAATTTTTTCTCAGTCTAAGCATGTTCCAACAGCACCTGCAGC